ACAATCCACCCACACACACACACACACACACACACACACACACACACACACACACACTTGTGACCATGATACCTGAGAAAGGAGGTAGAGGAGAGTCAGGACGGATTGGAGAATATTGATGCTAAGGTCAGAGCTCAGGGAATGAGGAGGAAGAGTCCCTGAGCAAACTGGCCAGGGCAGGGGCAAGACACGTTGTGAGCTGGCTAGGAACACAAGTGGGCTACCACCACAGGACTGTGAGGTGTGTCCTACTTGCTTTGCCCGGGTGGAGCTGGAGCTGGAGCTGGAGAATACGGGAGCAGGATGGAGTAGACGTACAGCATCGAAGGGAGAAGTAGGGAGACTCGGGTGAGCCTTGAGAGCTCCAAGCAGGTCCCCCAGGCATTGGTCACTTGGCTCTGCTACTCTGCTCCTCGCTTTGCTGGAACCAGTTGCCTGGGAGCCCCTTGCAGGCGCTGGCAAGACAACCCAAGGAGAAGGAGCACCAACTGTCCGTCTGGTCTGCAACGCGTCCAACCGAGATACCTTGCTCCCACGTGGCCGAAGCTTTCTGGCCGCGCAAGACACTGGTTTGCCCAGGCTTAGTGGTCTCTGGCTCCCTGTAGCCATCCTAACACCCAAGAGATGCAGGAGCGCTGCCTAGCCTGTCCTCCGCCCACCCAGGGCGGGTCAGAGGCGGAGCCAGTGCCAGCGGGCGCCCCCGACGGCGGGCGGGGCTAGGCGGACCGACCCCGCGACTGGATAAGAGCTTGAGGCTGAGACCCGCTAGAGCTGTCAAGCGGGACTGGAGGCTTACAGGACCTCAGAGCTGAAGACCAGCGCAGGAGGCAGGTAAGGACCAGGGTGGCTCCTTGCGCATCCTTGGAGGTGGCATCTCCGTTACCCCTGCCCCACTTTGACCCTGGACGGCTAGGCGATGGAGCGACAGGCAGGAACCCCACTCTGACCCTGGACTGCCAGGAGTGAGGTGCAGTAACTAGAGCCATCCAAGCTCTGGATCCAAGTTGCCAACAGTCAGGGTTTAGAGAGCAGCTGCTTACACACATAACTAAGGGGTGTGCGCTCAGTGCCTGTCCTGGAGTGTAGGATTCCACAGAACCCAGGCTCAAGACCTTCTTCACAGGAGGTTACTGTTACTTTTCAGGGAGCATGGCTTGTCTGGACATCGCGAACCCTTGGTGGTGGATTGAAGCCACTAGAGGGGCTGGAATCTGGAGGACGCACACCCCTTGGGGTTATTTTCACAACATGCCCAAAGCTCCATCTCCCTTCTCCCTCCCCCTACCTTCTCTGGTCTCTTCTGTAAGCCGGGGGCTGAACTCAGGCTGTGGGGAAAGACAGAGAACCTTGACTCAGGAGCCACCTGTTTCCTGATCCAGCTGGTGAAGAAACATGTTTTCCCAGGGCCCATTTTGCTATCTGTGTCCATTACCTCGGCCCTGAGCCATGAGTTAAGGAATAAGGTGGGGCAGACAGGTGCCACCTGTGTGCCTGTAATAGAGCAGGGAGCAAAACTTGGGACCAGGTCTTTTGCTATGCTCCTTGCCCATTTCACATCCAACCTATTCTGGCAATCCTACCTGCTCCCTAGCAGCTGCAAAACTGTTAGCCCATTTTTGACACATGTGAGGGATTTGCATTTGGGTTTGTCACCAGGGTAAAGAGGCCACAGAGAAGTGGTGCATAAAATAACTTCTGTCAGGAGTTTTTGTTTAGGGATGCAGAGGGAAGTCACCCCATTAGAGCAGCCACCCAGATGTCGGGCTTCCATCAGCGTGCTTGTCTGAGTTCAGTGGAAACAGGCTGTCACTGGGCATGAGGGCTGCTACCTCACTTATGCGCCATGGCCCTGGCTCTGCACAGGAGAAGCTTTCTCTAGGAGTGGTGCTGGTGCAGTGGTGGACTGATCCCTCCCCTGGTGACATTCTGGTTAACTCCCTGTCAGCTCAAAGGCCTGTGAAACCATGGTCATGGTCATGGGCAGGGTGATTTGTATATATGCTCTTTGGAGAAACTGATGACTATTTGTTTTAGACTTTCAGTTACTGTTTCTGATTTTGGTTATATTCATTTTGCTTTTTATTGTATTACTAAGTGTAAAGAAAGCCACACACCCTTACAGAGACTGAAGTAAGTGGAATGCTGTTGGCAAGGTGGGAAATTGCCTGCCCCCTGGAAATGTGGATAAGCAGTACAGGCAACACCTGGGATTGTTATTAGGAAGCAAATTAGAAACCAAACAAGCCTACACTAATGGGAACGCAGGCTTTGGCAGGAAAGGGAACTGCAGGGGTGTGTCTGTTTCTGGTCTCCACAGCCAGTTTCTCCCTTCTCTATGAACATCCCCCAGCTATCCTTCATCCTGGCCATGGCGTCTCAGAGGGTGCTTGGACTACCTAGGGTCTCTGTGCTCAACTCAGGTACCCTGTAGACATGGCTACTGAACCTGTGCATTGCTCTGTGTTTCTTTATGTTCACTGAAGGCCAAGAAGAAAGAAGCAGAGTTCCTTGGGCTCCAGTCCACCCATGAGTAAGAGCAAATGCTCCGTGGGACCAATGTCCTCTGTGGTAGCCCCGGCTAAAGAGCCCAATGCCATGGGCCCCAGAGAGGTGGAGCTCATCCTGGTCAAGGAGCAGAATGGAATGCAGCTGACTAACTCCACCCTCATCAACCCACCACAGACACCAGTGGAGGCTCAGGAGCGGGAGACCTGGAGCAAGAAAATTGATTTCCTGCTCTCAGTCATCGGCTTTGCTGTAGACCTGGCCAATGTCTGGCGGTTTCCCTACCTGTGCTACAAAAATGGTGGAGGTGAGTGTTGGAGGCCTCCTGTGCCTTTTAAGGGTGGAGCCATGGCAGGTGGTTTGGGGAGTTCAGTGAAGGCCATGGAAGCCATGGAACAGTGGGAGCTGTGCTCTCAAGAAATGCTCACAGTGAAGGCTGAGGAGATTGGTTTGGGGAGTTCAGTGAAGGCCATGGAAGGTACAGTGGGAGCTGTGCTCTCAAGAAATGCTCACAGTGAAGGCTGAGGAGATAACTCAGTAATGCACTTCCTGTGCAAGCATGACGACCTGACTTTGATCTCCAGAACCTCTCCCCCCCAAAAAAAAATAAAACAGGGCATTATGGCACACATTTGTAATGCTAATTAGCACTAGGGAGGTGGAGACAAGTAGAACCTTGGAGATTGATAGCCAACAAGTCTCACTCAGTCTAGCCTATCCAGAGAGCATCAGGCCAGTGACAGACACTGTCTCAAAAATCAAGGTGGGCAGCTCCTGAGGAACGACACCCAAGGATGATGCCTGGCCTCACAGATGCTCACATGCTCCTGTGTACACAGGACCATTCACATAACAGGAAATACTGTCAGTGAGACAATCCTGTCCCGAGTAGGACAGTGAGGCTGCTCACCAGCAGCAGTGCCTTCAGTCTTCCCGAGCTGGAGACCTCAGAAAATCTGACTGCCAAGGAACATGGAACCCAGAGAGCAGAGAGGAGAAGGGAGTAGGTGGAAGCATCAGGTCCTGACTTCTATTTCCACTAGTATTTCTACTTTGTAAAGAAAATTCTAAAAGACCAAAAGAACATATTTTAAGACAACTTCAACAGTGTTTATAGAGCTGTTGAACTTTGTACAATTTCAAGTTAAACTTAGAAAGGCAAAAGATGCCCCTGAACTGAAATATACCCATCTCCTCTATGTCCTCTCTACCTCTCTCCACCTTCCCCATCCTGTGTGTGTCTGTGTGACTGTGTCCTTCCTTTCTTCCTTCCTTCTTCCTTCCTTCCTGCTTTCCTTCCTTCAGTTTTTCTTTAAATGCAGTTATGGGAATTGAACCCAGAGCCTTGTGCATGCTGGCAAGCACTCTATAGCACTGAGTCACATCCATAGCCCTCTTGATATTTTTAGTTTGAATCAGGATTTCACTGTTAACTAGGCAGTTCTTGAACTCATCCTGTAGATCAGGCAGGCCTTGAACATATGGTCTTCCTGCCTTTAGCCTCTGGAGTAGCTGGGATTATGGGTCTATGCCACCAAGCCTGGCTTCCCCACTCTCTAGTCTCAGCTATAGAGCCGTAGCTGTGCAGTGGAGCTAAAAAGAAGACAAGGAGCAGGGTTAACACAGAAATTCAAGTTGAGCCCAGAAGGCCTCTATTTCCATGGCTTGGTCTCCCTGACTGGCTGCAGGATAAAAGAATTGCTTTGGGAAAGAAGGGCTCACTCAAGCAAATCCATGAGCACAATTGCTTAATTACATACTTTAGAAGGTGAGAGGCCCAAGGCCTCAGCAGCCCCAGTAAGTGACCCAAAGACAGGTGAGGAGATTCCCATCTTCCTCATCAAGACCTCAGGAGAAAGCTGTGGCCAAGCTCAGACTCACTCAAGTTGAGGGGAGCAAGAGGACTCTGGTGGGGTGCAACCTTTGTGGAGTGGAGTGTGCAGGTTAAGCAAACCAAGCTCTGCACTCTGGCTCCAGGAAACTCCCGACAGCAGAAACTCAGCTCTAGTCTCCACAGAAGCAGGCTGTCAGGATTAGGTCACTGATCCCAGGACCACAACTCTCAAGGGGTAAGAGTGAAACCAGGCATGAAGAGGCAGACAGTGCTGGGAGTGATGCTGAGAAGTGATGCTCCAGACTTTGACTGCCTTGCTTCTGGCTGAGCTTGGGACATAGGGTGGGGTGACAATCAGAGGCATTGAGCAGAACATGTCCAACACTGACTGCGGCTGGGACAGGCAAGGAGGTGGGGTTTATCACACATTCAGGATATCCCCTTGGGTGGTAGCTATTCAGAGAGCCTCTCACTGCAGACAGGATGCTAGGTGACAAGATCATACTCAAAGGTACGACATCAGGGCCCACATACGGATAATGAAAGCAGCCCCCTTCTGTGGCCCCAAGCTGAAGCTGTTGTCCTGTGCACAGGTGCCTTCCTGGTGCCCTACCTGCTCTTCATGGTTATTGCTGGGATGCCCCTCTTCTACATGGAGCTGGCCCTTGGACAGTTCAACAGAGAAGGAGCTGCTGGAGTCTGGAAGATATGCCCTGTCCTGAAAGGTAACATGCAGGGATGTGTCCCCCCATGAGGCATGGCCATTTTTCTGGGGCTTCAGAACAAGATGATGGCATTATATACAGGTTCTGCTTTCCTAAACTGTGTGGACATATGCATATGCTCTTCTAAAATGGGTCCTGCCTTAAAGACTGTAATGAACAGGAATCTTCTAGAGCATTCCCTTGCTCCTAAGCCAGGCTGCCCTGCAGCTAAGTGGTGGTAAATTTGTCAGGGTATTAAAATGGTAAAATTAAAAATAAAACCTACTTATCTGTCATCTGTCTATCAGTCATCTACTTACCTATTTATGAACCATTCAGCAAGCACCCTTCTAATCTATCATCTGTCTATTCATGTATCAGTCATCTATCTGTACAACCATCTATCTCCAATCATCACTTTTATCTATTTACTTATCATCTATACACATAGCTATCTGTTCACCTATCAAGCGACTATTATTCATTTATCAATCATCTACCTACCAGTCATGTGTTTATCAGTCGTATCTATTAATCATCTATATAGTTCAGTGAGCCCCAAGAATGTTTATACAAGGCTTCAACACTACAAGGCAGATGTATTTTACACTGAGCCAGGTGGCCTGCCCAATGGTTGTCATTTTCCAGATGTCACCTTCCTTGCTGCCAGGAGATCCCAGATAGCGAACACCACACTATGCCTTCTGCATGGGAGACACTGACAGTGAGAAGTTCAAGGACTTCCCAAGTGTTAAAAGCAAAACCTGGGTCCATCCCAGCCCTATTTTCCACCAGCCAGCTTTAGAAAACCCTTGTTCTGACCCAATGTCATCCCAAGGAGGTGTTGTTCCAGGAGACTTCAAGACTCTTCTTGGAAGAGACCCAGTGAGGTTCTTCTCCAATAGTTGGCACTTGTCAAAAAAATGACTCTTGAAAGACTAGCATTGGGTTTTCTCAGAAGTATTTGAGTGGTGAAAGCTGAGCTCCAGTTCCCAGTGCGGTGTCTGTGGATCAATGCTTGACACCCAAGACCAGAAACTGCTGCTCTGGATTAGAGCAGCAAAGGTTTGTTGTCTAGGCCGTGCTCTTCATGGAAATGCTATTCTTGCACAGTGGAAATGTGAAATGCAGAGGCTATTGGGCACAGACATCAGACTGCTGGGTTTGGGATTTACATCTTGTAAGTGTTGGGTGACATTTTTTCTATAGGCTAAAAAGATTCCCTGGATTGCACTGAAATGAAACTGTATAAAGAGGGAGCTCACTAAAACCTATCTCCATGCATAACTTTAGAGCCAGACAGAATCTCTGGGGACACACATTGTCCCCGGATGTCCCCCCATTGTAATCAAAATGTAGGAGCCAGCACTTAAAAGAACTGCACAGGACTGTCTGACACCATCATTGGATCCTAAGGGAACCCTGTGACTCTAGGAGATAATTGTCGTGTTGAAATGGCATTTCATTGTCCACTAACTATATAAACTTTATTGGGTCAATGTCAGTGGAATTGATCTAAGAGCTACATATGAAAATGACTCATGTCATGTTCTCCTAGACTCTATCTAGCACTGCTCATGTGACCCAGGGAATACACACCACTTCTGAGGCTGTAGCAGTAGCTGGGATGAGCTTCAATCAAATCTGTCATTCAGATGGCAGTTGATAGCTGAATTAAAAACCCATCCTGCTATCCTTGTATAGAGAACATGTCAAGGGTTGGTGGTCACATGTGGCCATGCACACTACAGTGACGCCAGAATTTTATCTGTCGGATTTTTTTTTTTTTTTTTTTTGAGGCTCATGACCCTTGAATTGTGGAGAAGCACTAAGTTTTCCACAGGATACAACCAATCCTGTGCCTCAGTCTTCACAGGGAGTTACAGGACCAAAAGGCCAACAGGAAACCAGGAAAGAGGGAAGGTTTAGTAGCCAGGACTGTAGCCAGCAGAAGAAAGCGAGTTAGCTCACACAGGGACCTACCCACAGCACAAAGTTCTCCATCCAGCTCTGGATATTAGTAATGGTGAACTGCAACAATCCTAGCACTAAGTAACCTGAGTCAGGAGGATTGCACAACTCAGGCAGCATAAAATGCTGTCTTTAAAAGGGCTCTTCAGTAAAACCACTAAAACACTTTTTTTTTTTTTTTTACTCAGTAAAGCATTTTAAAGAGCATCAAGGTTACTATGCAATGCTGACAACTTGGCTTAGAGCATGGTGGGATTGAGCAGGCATTGATAGTGATAGCTTTGTAGAGAAAAGAAGACTAGGCTGTGTGACTGGGTGGAGAGAGACCCTCAAGAAGGTGGGTAGTGAGCAGAGCCAAGTGAAGATCCCCTGCTCCCTAGGCTGGCTTTCATACCATTGAAGTTCATTCTCTCTCTCTCTCTCTCTCCCTCTCTCTCTCTCTCTCTCTCTCACACACACACACACACACAGAGAGAGAGAGAGAGAGAGAGAGGGAGGGAGAGAGAGAGAGAGAGAGAGAGAGAGAGAGAGGTGTAACTTTTGCAGCCTGTGCTTATGATGAGTGGGGCAGCCAGTGAAGCTATAGTTAGAATATATGCTATATCATGATATGTACTCACTCATATGTGGATTTTAGACATAGAGTAAGGGATTACCAGCCCTTACTGATATGAAGAATATATGCTGTATGCCAACAATCATCACAAGACCATTCTTTTTTGTCTTGGTTTTGTTTGTTTGAGACAGGGTCTTATTCTATATCCCATGCTGCATGCTGACCTCAAACTCACAGTGATCCTCCTGCCTCAGTCTCCTCAGGATTTCAGGTATATCCACTATACTCAGCTGTAAGAACATTCTTATGGCAAACAAAAAGAGGTGTGTGTGGCTTCTAAAGGCTGTGTCTTATGGGACATAAAGGAGGAAGCCAGTAGTGTTGGCAGGTTGTTGATGGGCTATACTTCAGCAGCTGAAGCTGGTGGCTTTCTGGAGCTCTGTATTCTTGAACAGAGCTCAGAGTGACTAACTGAAGAGTCAACTCTTGCACCAGCCTACCTAAGGAGACATTTTTCCTTTCCCAGCAGTTGGAACATCTGAACAGACACACAAGGTGTGTGTGTGGGGGGAAGGGTACTCTCTTGCAAACTCGTTTGCCCTGGGAGCCACTTCAGTTGGTGGCAGAGTTGACTCCATTGTGCAGGAAGGTGTTCTTGTCACTCTCTTGTAAGTAAAGCTCAGATGGACCACTCCTGCCACACACACACACAACAGTAGTCTCCAAAGGATGAGAGGCACAGTCATCTCTTTCTTCAGACACTGTACTTATATTCCACTACAGTACATGATCCAAGGTTTTTTTGAGTTCCTAAGATTTCAATCTAAGGACTTCAGATACAAAGTTTTAAAAAGTTTCAAATGGGGCATTCACCATTAGCCATCTTTCAGGGAAAACTTTCAGCTGTGCAATTTGGAAATATGTGGGTTCTGACAACACATCTTGGCAATATGGCTGACAAATAGCATGACTTCTCCAAATGGCTACCTGATGAGTTCACTAAATCAAAACCTTTAGTTTGCTGCATGGAATTGCAATGTGGAGCTGCTTAATCTTGATTAATTCTGTATAGAAGTCTTTCCAAAGGAAAAAGTTTGGGTTTTACTATTTCTACTTCTGAGCACATTCAAGGAGGATCACTTTCTCTGCTGGGCTTAACACAAATACAATTTAATGCCCTCTCTTTTGCCTTTATGGAAGGAAAATAACTTTAATGATGGCTTGAGCATGAAAATACCTTCTCCAAAGGGTTAAAACAATCCAAAGCAATTAAGCTACAACCTACAAAAGACACCTTGAAGCCATACTCCTCCCCTCAACCTCAAGCAGACCAGAAAAGGCATGGAGCCTAACAAAGTTTTAATAAAGCTCACAAAACTCATAAACCAGGTCAATTATATCTGCAAAGCTGAAAGTGGATGTTTGAATAAGAAAAATTCTGCATGGATTTCAGTCAAATCCAACACAGTGCAGGAACATGACCGTGTTTACTTAGCCTGCAAGGAGGAGTCCTTTGACCAATGTGAGGAGCCTTTTAACTGCCTGACAATCTTCACACTGCTCAGGATGGCCCTTTTCTGGCAACTGCTCACCTCTGTGTTCCACGCCAGTTTAGAGAAGTATCCACTAAATGGATGATCCCAAATTTCCAGGTTCAGTGATCTTGAAAAGAATGTATCAAGCCCTGGATGATCCCAAGTGGTTAAGTGTACCCATGGGTGATCTTGGAAAGTCCTGGGTAGTCTCTCACATTCTAGGTAAAACTAGATGGTCTTGTTTGGCTTTGACAAGTCCTTGAAACCTCTGGGTGTAACCATGCATGGCCTGGGAGACACTAGGTGGTCATGCATGATCTGGGCAGCTCTAGATGGCTGTGAACATGCTAAATGACTGTGTTTATCCTGGATGGTCTTGGAGAAAGGGCATAGGTAGTTGTTAATGGCTATGTCAAGAGATTCTGAGTGTCCCCAACAGGCACGGATGGATACAGATGGTTGCCGATGATTGTGGGTAGCCCTGGATTTCCCTGGGTAATCATGGAGCATTCACCATTAGCCACAAATGAAAGGATATTTATTTATCCTTTCACTTTGAATGGACTTTGGTTCTTGTGGATGGCCATAAAGGGTCCTAGTTGTCTTTTAATGGTTCATAGTGGCTCTGGACAGCATTGGACATTTCTGAGTAACTCTAGGTGGCCTTTGATGGCTCTGTTATGGGTGTTTCTGATGACCCTGATAGCTGTGGATGATTCTGAAGGTTTGGTGTGGGTCTAGTAGCCATAGATAACTATGTTTGGCTTCCCTGGGTGATCCAGGGAAGCTGTAGATGGTCCTAAATGGGCCTGAATGACCCTGGCTGCTTCCTGAAGGACTGTGGTGGAAATGAATGGCCTTAAAAATTCTATAGAGCTATGGGTGACACTGAATGGTCTGAATGTTCATAGGGTAGTCTCGGGTACTCTTTGATGGCTTTTAATGACCCCTCTGACTCTCAATGTCTCTCTGAGACATATTGATATCTCTGGAAGATGCAGATGATTTTAAAGAGTGACAATCCCTTCTCTGAAATCATAGAATAAGATCTGGTATCCATCCATCCTTTGTGTTTTAAGGTGTTGTAGAGTGCTGCAAAGGATGTCAGTGCACCAACTCAGTGTGAGTAGGTAATGGGAAGGGACATTGTGCTGATGGTGGTTCTACTGTCATCACCAGGTGTGGGCTTCACTGTCATCCTCATTTCCTTCTACGTGGGCTTCTTCTACAATGTCATCATCGCATGGGCACTGCATTACTTCTTCTCCTCCTTCACTATGGACCTCCCATGGATCCACTGCAATAACACCTGGAACAGCCCCAACTGCTCCGATGCCCATGCCAGCAACTCTAGTGATGGCCTGGGCCTCAATGACACCTTTGGGACCACACCTGCTGCTGAGTACTTTGAGTAAGTGAGTGGTCAATTCTTCCTGTCAGCCTGGAGAATGGGAGGGTTGGCAGGTCTGGGAGCTCAGGGCAGTACTTAGGACACTCCACTCACATCTTATTGTTCTCAAAGCTGTGGTGAACTGGTCCCTTCCCTTGCCCAGAGCTTCTGAGTCCTGTCCTTGTGCATTATATTTCTGAATTGCAAGGGATGATCTTATATGTCCTTATCCGAACTCTATTGATGGGGGCCTCAGGAGGGATGGACCTTGGTCTGTTGCCCACTTGTTCCATTCTGGCTCTATAGTGAGGTGGGAGGAAACTTACAAGACACTATATTACTTCTCAGAAGGAAGTGGAGCTCTGGCTTTGGGCTTCCAGGGCACAGAGCACAGAACAAGCAAGTTCTCTGTTAGCTCTAGAAAGGGACCTCTGAGCATCACTGCCTGGGTGCCTCAGCTTCAGAGGCAAGCTGCTGACAGGATGCAAGGACTGTCCCTTGCCATGAGGTTTTCCCTTTTATAAAATTTACTTACTTCACTGTACCCCTTTTCCATGAATGGTGCTAGCTTTCTTTCCCCAACCTCGGTACACTCTCTCCTCCAGCAAGCCTCCCTGGTTTTCTGACTCCTTTACAGGTCATCTCCTTGCTTAGACTTCCTGTAGGCTAGTACCCCTCCTGGGATTTGTTTTCCTGAGTCTATACCCTTTATCACTGGGTGGCCTAGCCTGGAAGGGCTATGACACCTACCCTATAGACCCATTATTGACCTTTCTTGAAGTCTAGGCATGTGTATGTTCACTCATCTGTGTATGCACATCTCTGCCCATGTGTGCTTATGTGTCTACGTATGCACACATATGTGTCTGTGTATGAATGTGAATGCTCACCATAAAGAGCCACGCTGTCATAGGCAATGTTTTCACCTGTATGATTTCTCAAGATGGCAGCTATGAAGATGTAAATTTACAGATGCAGGAAGGAGTCTGGCTCGGGAGCTGCCCTGCCTCGCTTGGGATACAGCTGGTGCTGGCTGGACCACTCTGACTGAGGCAGGGTCTGCTGAAGTGTGGCTTCTGTGATAAACATAAGCAAAGGGAATTCAAGGCAATCACTGCCAAGGTCAGGTTTTCCCATGGACACTGATGTTCTTTGTAGGACTGAACTCTCAATGGCCTATTTGAACATGTCTTACCACTCATGTTTAAATGCCTAAGAGTTCCCTTACCACTTAACAGAAGCTGAAGCTGGGCTGGTGCCTTAACACTCAATGGGCTGAGGCAGGAGGATTGCAAATTCAAGGACGACAGAGGAAAATGAAAAGCTTAAACAGAAGGGGCTTTGGCCAACAGGAATGAGATTATTTCTGCTCTAACTGCAAGCAGGTTCATTTGCAAAACCAGGTGCTCCACCTTTAAAGTTCCAAGTGGTGCTCACTAGAGACACTGAGACTCTGGGGAGGTGAATGAATGGAAGCCCTGTCCTGAATGTTTAGATAGAGTTTTTCCCTGTGACAGCAAACAAGGAATGACAGCATTCCTCAAAGAATACTTCTACCATCTGTCAAAGTAGATCTTAGCACATTCTTAAGGCCCGTTCACTATTGCAGCTCCTTACTGAGTCTTATAACCAACACTTGTCATGTGATCTCATCCATGGGAGCCATATCAAGCCAAAGTAGAGGGACCAGCAGGGATGTGTGGGAACCAGTGCCTGAGGGCACCAGTTGCAGAGTTGCAGTTTGGGGAATCCATCAGTTGCACTAAAGGATGCTAAGAGCCAAGCTCAAGCTTGAGTCAGGGTTAGCTTATTACAAAAAGAGAGACTATGTTTGTGAGGTCATGTGTCTTTTACAACTGCCAGATGGACTGGAATGTGTTTTAGAACACTCAGAAAGAGCAGAGATGTCAGAGTGGGTAAGAGGCCTGGAGAACTGCCTGATTTCTCCTTGGAAGATGCGGGGAGCATTGATTCCTCTGTGTGGTTTTCAGTTGAGAAAATTAGAGAGAAAGTGTAAATTAGTCTAGGGTTTTTTTTTTTTGTTAGTTCAAATTAGGAACAAGCTTGTTTCACATGTCAATCCCTTCTCCCTCTCCCTCCCCTCACTCCCATCCTCCTCCCCCACCCCCGACCTACCCCTACCCCATCCACCCTCCACTCCCGAGGCAGGGTAGGGCCCTCAACGGGGGCTCCACAAAGTCCACCACATCATCCTGGGCTGGGCCTGGTGTTTTGTTTTTTGAGACAGGGTTTCTCTATGAAACAGTCCTGACTGTCCTGGAACTCACTCTGTAGACCAGGCTGGCTTGAACTTATAGAGATCCGTCTGCTTCTGCCTCTACTTCTGCCTCCCAAGTATCAGGATTAAAGTTGTGTGCTGCCACCACCCAGCCTAGTCTAGGAATTTTTTTGACAAGAAATAATGGAGGAAAGAATGTTATCTTTTAAAAGCCAGACTGTGAAAGTCTGGAAAGGCAGGCTACAAAGCAGAGTTGTCCAACCCTGTGCTCTTTGAAGGCCTGTATCCCTGGCCAGACAGTGAGCTACTGAAGTTGACGAGGGCAGAGACAGAGGCAAGAAGAGAGTGTACACTGCTCTATGAAGTATGTAAAGACTAAGCTAATGGTTGACAGAAAAGCTGTGTCCTCTAACACAGGCATCTATACAGATGGGTAGCAGTCTAACCTTCCTGTATGTATATGATGCCACATCATGGATTTCACAGCTAAGATGTTGGCAGGAACAGGTATAAAAGAGTTGTACCAAGCCGGGCAGTGGTGGCGCATACCTTTAACCCCAGCACTCAGGAGGCAGAGACAGGCAGATCTCTGTGAGTTTGAGACCAGCCTGGACTACAAAAGCTAGTTCCAGGACAGCCTCCAAAGCCATAGAGAAACCCTGTCTCGAAAAATCCCCCCAAAAGAAAAAAAAAAAAGAGTTGTATCAAGCATATCTGCTGCATCCTTGGAGAGTAGTCCCCCCAAAAGAAAAAAAAAAGAGTTGTATCAAGCATATCTGCTGCATCCTTGGAGAGTAGCATCCAGGCCTTGGTGGGACACCAAACACTGGTCATGTCATCCCCAGGCTCTGACTCCACAGGGACAGTGCAGTTGTCCAGGATGAGGTATGTTCCCCAGACATGACCAGTCTTATATGTAGAAATAGTCCCTGTGCCTGCAGCCAACTTGGTCAGCCCATGTCTACCACAGCCAACAATGAAAGGGATGCCATGGAGACTGACCACAGGAGGCCCCATGTCACCGTTAGCCATCTTTTACAGCAGCCTCCCTTTTGGGCAGCAGCTGCTAGATAAAAGTGATAGGAACTACTTCTGGAGAAAGGTGAAAGGAATTATTTCCTGTGGGAATGTAGAGTCTAGAGAGTGTCAACTGGATTACTCACAAAGTTACTTTTATTGTAGTGACTCTTGAACCCATTTATTTGTCTCTTTGTTTTGTTAAGATTCTGGGTCTTGAACCTGAGCCCATGCTAGACAAGGAATCTTCCACAAAAGTTACATCTTGTGCTGGATATTTTTATATCGAGTTGATGCAAGCTTAAGTCATCTGAAAGGAGGGAATCTCAGTTAAGAAAGTGCTTCCATAAGATGGGGCTGTAGGTAGGCCTGTAGGAAATTTTCTTAAATAGTGATTGATAGGGGAGGGCCCATCTCATGGTCGTGGGGGGGACACTCCTGGGCTGGTGGTCCTGGGTTCTATAAGAAAGCAGGCTAATGAACAAAAAGAAAGAAAGCAGACTGAACAAGCCTTGGAGAGCAAACCAGTATGCAGCACTCCTCCATGGACTCTACATCAGCTCCTGCCTCCAGGTTCCTGTCCTGACCTCCTTCAGTGATGAACAGTCATGTAGAAGACTAAGCCAGATAAACCTTTGCTCCCCAGCTTTCTTTGGTCATGGTGTTTCATCACAACAATAGAAACCCTATCAAAGACACATCCCCAGCCACCCTTTACTCCTTTTTTATTATTTATTTAAAGTCAGGGTCTTACTATGCAGCCCTTACTACCTGATCCTTCTGCCTCTACCTCCTAGTGATGGGATTACAGGTGTGAGCCCTTTTATAAGGGCTCCCTGCACTTCTGTCCCCTTACACCTCTTTCCTTCTGCTGTTTCCCCAATGTTCGTTCTCAATAGGCATGCATAAAGAACTACCATAGGCTCATAGCAGAAACTGTAAGCTTGGTACTGTCATGCTCATTGCTCTGATAAGAAATTATGAATATACTCAATAGGGATGAATCATAGATCGTATAAATGCATGTGATCTGAGCAACCTTCCAACAAACCCATGTAACTGTCGTCACTTAAGAATTCCTGACCTCTATATATGTTCAATACCACTTTTACCTATTTTCTAATCCAAATTATCAGAAAGTTAGTTGTAAAGCCAGAAATGGGCATCTAATAGACCACCACTGTAGCTGCATCTCACTGTTTGATGTCTTAATGTTAGTTCAGTTTAGAGTGTCCCATAATCTCTATGGTAATTTCTACTTTAATAATGGGATACTTGTTTTTAACTTTGAAAGAGTTGGGTTGTCTGATACATTTCTTTTTGTCAGTTTCTAATTTAATTGTCTTGACAACATGTTCTATAAGTGTTACTTATAGAAATTTAGTGTTAATACATGCTGAAATGTGCTTTGAAGCCTCTGATATGGTCTCTGTCAGCAAATGTTCTGCATGAATTCCAGCTAGGCTGCACATTACATGCTTGTGGTCTCAGAACTTGGGGGGTCTAAGATAGGAAGGTCACTTGAGGCCAAGAGTTTGAGAATAATCTAAACAACATAGAGCACTACATGGATGGTGGTTGTTCATGTTAAGATTGTTGTCTGGATCTTAATTTATTTAGTGATTTTCTATCTACTTGTTGAATCAGTTAATAAGAGATTTAAAGTCTCAGTTATAATAGTGATTTTGTCTGTCATACTTAAACCACCAATGGTTATTGCTTCATCTGAAGCTTTAGGTCTTTGTTTTATTACATTTATTTTATTAAGTAGTTAGTTGTGTGTGTGTATGTGTGTGTGCAAGTGTGTGCACACTCTTGAGTATATACATGAGACCATTTACAACAGTGTGGCCTGCATGTGGAGGTCAGAGGACAATTTACGGGAGTCAGTTCTCTCTTTGGTGATACAAATCTTTACTCACTGAGTGTTCTCACTGGCCCTGGTGATTGGGTGTCTTGAAGTACACATGTTCACGAATATTAAGCCTTCATTTTGCCCCTTTGCCATCAGGAAAAGTCCCTTTTGATCACGAAGCCTAGGTTGACCTGAAACTTGTGGCCCTCCTCCTCCTACATGCCTAAATGGCTTTTTCTGGCCAACCAGTCCTCTCCTCTGACTAGTGAACAACCCTTAACCCTGAGTGAGCTATGATGATGCCAGCTCTCACTACAGTGGATGTTTCTCCCTGTCTTCGTTTCCTGCAGTCTGCACCCTCATGTTCAGTGAAGGACTTCATGCACTTGCAGACAGCTTTGTGGAGATCCAGATTAGAAAGGTCCTTCTTTCCAAGGCTCTGTCCTGCAGTGTGCAGATTTTTGGGGTCTCTGTGCTCCAGTCCATTCTTTGTACTCGGTGAGACTCAGAGCTGATCTTAGAACCCTGCCCCACGCTGCCAGGGGTGAGGACTCCTGAAGGTGTAAGTGGTCACTGGTTGGACTCCCCCCACCCCGTGTCCTTCTCCTAAATTGCAGTCCTAGGTTACCTCCAATCCAGTGTCTGGAGCCCCTTCCAGAATGGCTAGGGTCAGGGCCATCCACATGGCCTCACTTCTCCGTCAGAGCACACTCCTGTGGGTGAGACTGCAGTCTTACCTCATCTATCTATCTATTGTAATCTGCTCCCATGGGCAGAACTAGGGCTGGAGGTAGAAATTTGGGCCCAGACCCTAACTCAGCTACTTGTTGGCAGAGTTTTGAGGGGCTTATCTTCTCTATGCCTTGATTTATCTATATATAAAATGGAGAGAATAGATAGGAACCCAAAGAGGCTGTGTACTTGATGCCCTCAGTAGAGATTCCTGTTGAGGCAAAAGACTCATAGCCAGGAGCTCAGCTTCAAAGGGAACACAACACAGCTGGTACTGTAAAGGCTTCTCAGTGCTGGTGAGTATGCCAGCCTAATCATGTCCAGCCCTCCACACCACATACACTTCAGAAATTTCTGCACATCAGGCCCAAATCACCTTACTTGTTGACTTCAGGCCCTCACTCTCAGGAGCATTGTCCCTACTGTGCAACGTGGGCTTTCTGTGGTTATTGATGTGGCTAGTTCCCATGCTGTGGCTGGCTGGGGAAAGAAGTATGGGGGGCTGGACTTTCCTCTAAACAGTCCATGAGATCTTGAGTGCATGTGTGTGCCATGAACTTGTGTATGCATAGTATATGTGTATGTTTGCATGGGTGTGTAAGCAGGTACTTGTAGGTGCATATGTATTTGTGTGTTTATGTGGGTGTGAACATGTGCTCAATGTAGATGTACGTACATGTGTGAATACATGCAACATTCATGTATGGTTATGACTGTGTTGAGGACAGAAGTGAAGTCTGGCTGTTTTCTCTAATCACTTTCGACCTTATTGGATGTGCCTATGTGTTGTATGTGCATATTCATTTGGGTGCATGTACCTGTGTGTGTGCATACATGTGGAGTTCAGGGACTGACATCAGCTATCTTCCTCAGTCACTCTTCACTTTCTCATTCCTGAGACAGGATCTCTCACTGAACCTGGAGCTCATTGATTTGACTAAAATAGCTGGCCAATGAGCTCCAGGAATCCTCCTGTCCCCTGCATCCCACCCTAGAAATGGATTTATAGATATGCACCAGCAGACGTGGGGATTCAAACTCAGTTCCTAGCACTTGTACAACTACACGTAGATTGCCCACCTACCATCTCCCCAGCTTCCAGACTATGGGATCTTAAACATTCCGAAGCCCCAAGGCTTTTTATCACAGAATGAAACCAAAACAGTGCAGTCCAACTCATGTCAATAGTGACTTAGCACCATCACTGGTAAAGCCATGTGGGGCAGTACCTTCAGGATCCAAGATCTGTGTGGCCATAATCTACTGAGTGCCACCTTCCTCCTTTGGGAGGAGCTGCGTAGTTGTGGCATATAGAGCTTTGTTCCCACCCTCACCCCATCCCTTGCCTCTGGCTCTTTGAACACCACCCCCCAGGCAAGGAGAGTAAATGGTCACTTCCCTAAAATTCAGGTAAGATCTGTTCCTGTGAGACACGAGGCTCTGGGATAAAGTTGGGGCTTGGAAAAGGACACAATACACTGTATGGGTCTGGGCTTGGTGGTTTTATCCTGAAATGTTCTCTCTCCTTGTGAAGCTCTAAGAAGTGAGGTCCCACTGGGACAGCAAAGCATGGAACATTGGACAGCAGCCCAGGCCAAGGACAGGGGCCTTAAGAATCCTCGCTGCCAAGATAGGGCCAGTAACTCTACCATGAAGTACACTGGCCTGTCTCGTTTAGATCTAGTGATTCACAGTGCATACCCACATGCTATGAGCTTGCACAGTATCCATGGTAGACAGGATAACAAGCAAGCCATTATACTCTATAAGATGGAACGATAATACCCTGACCACACTGGGACCCCTTTCTGGGGACCCTGACCCTAACTACTGTATAGACCCTAACTACTGGGTTGAACTGGATTTTCAGGACTGCACTGTCCCTGCTGATAGCAGCTAGCACCACCCCAGTTGTGGTTTCTAGACTATGAGGATCAAAGTTCTCCAACTTGGTGCCATGATTCCTGTTTCTGGTGAAAATCTCCAGAAAGTTGGGGTTAGTTGTGTTCCATTGTAAGTCTGGGTATTAACTTCCTGAGAAACCTCATCTGACCTACAATCAAACAAACCTGGGCTGTGGTGGCTCCTTTCACTATACATTCCTCCAGTTCTTTTGGGAGAAGCACCATTAGAATAGGCTGGAGCTTTGAGTTTTGTGAAGGTGATGCAGCCACTTCCACATTGCCAGATTCTTTGGAAGTAAGTATACCTTTCACACATTCTCTTCAGAATGGCTTTCCTCAAAGACGAGTGCAGCTGTGTATGGCTCCCCATTAGATCATTCCTTGGGGATCCTCCTTCAAGTGGCAATAACTGTGAGCAAGGATGAGAGAAATCAATACAGAATGCACAGAAACCTGCATATGCAGTTTTACTGCTCAGAGCTCTCCCGTTTTACCTCTGAAAAGGATCCTGGGATTGTTGCAAGATAGCGGCTCATGATGGCTTCACTCAGTCCCTTCTCCTGGTTTTTAAGATCTCCATTTCTCTGTACATCCAAATTTCCTATTCCCTCCCAACTCCAAAAATCAGGTCTGTTGGTAGAGCAGAGTGTTGCTGAACTCCTACCGGTATCCTGGCAAGACATCTAGCTGTTCTGTCCATCTTAAGGCAGTTCTGTGACCCAGGGGACAGCTTTGAGTCTTTCATAGCAGGAAAGGGGTATTTCTAGTTAGATCATACCAGGTACTTTCCATATGACAAAGATGAGGAGGATAGGGACTAGCTCAGCTGTCTCATTCCAGTCCTGGGAGACAACTGCTCCCTCCAGAATTATCTGTTGTCTTTCCTCCAGGCGTGGCGTACTTCACCTCCACCAGAGCCGTGGTATTGATGACCTGGGCCCTCCACGGTGGCAGCTCACAGCCTGCCTGGTGCTGGTCATTGTCTTGCTCTACTTCAGCCTGTGGAAGGGAGTAAAGACCTCAGGAAAGGTGAGGTGGAAGCCAACAGGACCTGAGAACACATGGCGGTGGTTGGATTGTGGGTGGATAAGCATATGGCCATGGCTTGTAAGAGCTGTGTGTGGTCACAGTTGGTGGGTAGACACATGGTCATAGTTGTATAGAGTAACATGTGGCTATGGTTGCATGGGTGTACACATGACCATGGTTGGTAAGTAGCATGTGGCCATGTTAGTAAACTAACATATGACCATGTCTAATGGGTAGCATATGCCTGTGGTTGGTGCATGTAACACGAACATGTAACATGTGGCCATGGTCAGTGGATATGTGGCCATGATTAGTGTATGGGCATGTGGCCATTATTGGATGAGTGGTCATGAGACCAAGGTCAGCATGTGACCTTGTCTGGGTATATGGACCTGAGGTCATGTGTAGTGGGTGGAAACATGGATGTAGTTGAGTGAGAAAGTGGGCAGGCTGTTATGGTTGAGAGAAGACAGGTAGCCATGGTTGTTTGACCGTAGACACATGGCCATGTTTAGATAAGGAGGAGATGTATGTCCATGGTTCAATGAGAGGTGACATGTGACCATGATTTGGTGGGAACAGTAGACACATGATTATGGTGGACAATTATAGACATTGTGCTTGGGGCAGGGCATTGAGAAAACATCATTCACAATGGTGTGTACAGCATGAACTTATTTCTTACTGATGAAAACATTTGGCAGTTATGTGAGTATGGGTATCCATGGCAATTTGATCAAAATTACCCTGACACCTGTTATAATATAACCCCTGTGCCAACACAGGGAACCCTCCAATAATAGGAGGTAGCTCCTTCCCTGACCTCATGCCTCAAATCCACTCCTTTCCACATACTACCAAAATGCATCAATATAAGCTCCCACCAAGGCCTCACTGCATGGCTTAGGCTCCTTAGAGACAAATCCACTCCTTTCCACATACTACCAAAATGCAACAATATAAGCTCCCACCAAGGCCTCACTGCATGGCTTAGGCTCCTTAGAGACACTGTCTTCTCTTCCAGGTTGTGTGGATCACAGCTACCATGCCCTATGTGGTCCTCACCGCCCTGCTACTGCGTGGAGTAACCCTTCCTGGAGCCATGGATGGCATCAAAGCATACCTTAGTGTGGACTTCTACCGGCTCTGTGAGGCATCTGTGAGTGCAGCCCCCATCAGAGTTGGCAGTCCTTTGAGCCAGTGGGGCTTGTGACAGGGCTCCTGAATATGGTTCAGAGGCCCAAAGTGTGGTTCAGCAATTCCTTCCTATCCTGTGAGGTCAGCAGATGCAGGTTTGCCTATTCACCTGTATACAAGTCTCCTTCATAGACAGTATTGATGGAGGGAGAGTACATTAGACACTTAAGGGAGACGTGAAGATGGAGAGAAAGGAAACAGGGGGGATGGCCATCTCTGGCTCTCCACAGGGATGGAAGACTGTTCCAGTCAGAGCACCCTGAACACCCTGAACACCCCTCACCTTCTTCACCTGTGATACTACTGGCCTCAGCAGTCGTGTGTGTGTGTGTGTGTGTGTGTGTGTGTGTGTG